ATTTTCATCTATTACAACATGTGCAGAACATGAGCACACCAGGGCAGGGAATTAGAATGATTTGTCCATGTTTAGTCCACCTATCTGTTATTACATCTTTCTGGCTGAGTTGTACTTGATGAACTGAACAATGTCTTTTACAAATCTTCCTCATACATCTACACTAATGGACATTCAGTGTCCCAAGTTTCCAGCACTCTCCACACCCAGTTGGACGGGTCCCATCTACTCTATGCATTGTGCTGTCTCATTTTTCCATATAAGTCCTGCATAACTATGGTCCTTTTGATCACCAACTTCACCAATATAAGACTTAATTAGAAAGGAGATTGGTTCTAGAAACCTCCATGAAGGGGAAAAATCAGAAGGGATATTTTAGAAAGAAGTGATGTACTTTACCTCTCAAGAATATGCTCTTTTTCTGTGTGGTCACTTGATGCAGAGAAGCCAAGGAGGAAGACATTTAGAACAATCTAAAGCAATCTGCTCATTTTACAGATAAAGAAATGCATGGCTATTGAAAGGCCACAGGTACTCCCTGTAAGAAGCGGGACACTAACAGAGTGTTAGTAACACATTGCAGTGGCAGAACTACTGTGTCATTTCACAGGGTATTGACCTCCTTGCCATTTTTGGTGGTATTGGTCCCTCAGGAAGAAGCACATAGAGCCACAGCTGCTGGGCTGCCAGCGTCAAGGAGTACCACTTATCCCAGAGGCTACGATCCAATTAGCCCAGATTAGAACAAAAAGCAGGCTTGAAGCAAGGAAGAAGGCAGAAATGAGTGAAGCATTTTGTTTTGTTTTGTTTTTAGTGAATCCTCTGTTCACCTCAATATTAATTTAAATGCTGGCATGCTGTTTCGTGAGAATGTTTTACTGATAAGTAATGGTTTAATTATGGTTTCAAAAAAAGGGTTGTTCTAGCACTTTTGTTTCTGTGTAATAGCACCAACCAGACTCTGCCTTTCATCAGATTTAACTGTTACTTACTTGCTTCTCTCCCTAGATTGTGAGCTCCTGAGGTGAGGGCCACATTTTATTCATCTCTGTCTTCCACAGTGTTCAGCACAGTGCTGTGCACATTGCAGCTGCTCAATAAAATGTTTATTGAGTTGGCTTCTGTCAATGTCAGTGTGTGTGTGTGTGTTTTAATGCATAACAACAGGAAAGATGCAGCAATGAAATAAGTCCTTCTAGTTTATGAAAAGTCATTCCATGGCCCAACAGTCATGATTTACAAACACTGCTGCTACCTATCACAATTATAACATACAAAGTTCAATCCTGAGAAACACACAAGTTGAAGGCTAAAAACAAGAAAAGGAATTCATTTTGTTTTGTTTTCGTACATTTTTTCTCTTTAGAGATCTATATAATTGTTCTCTGGGTTTCTGCTTTCTACAAGGGCTAGTCCAGCTAAATGTAGTAAAATGTACCAATGCTATGATTGAAATGTGCGTAAGGTATAGGACAGGCACAAGGCATAGAGAAAATGTGATGGGATGCTCAGGGAGGTAACACTCAAACAGAATCAAACCATGTATAGATTTCTTTTGGATGAACACAGGCAGACAGGATGTTCAAGGGAAAGGACAAGAAAAGGACAATATAGAGCAATGACTTGGAAGTAATTCTGACAGCTGGGCTTTGGGGCGGTGCTGAGGATAGTCTGGAGCTGGAGGAATGAGAGCAGTGGGAGGTGTGTGGAGCCTTGCACACGCTTCACAAGGTAGCAACAGGGATACACTGGAAGGTATTCATCAGGAAATAACATGACAATTTGTGTCTTTAAAAGCCCTCTAGGGCAGTAGCATGGAGCATAAGCTGAATGAATGTGAAATGAGTGTTCATAGATTTAGGAAAAACATTGTAACAGCTCTGTGAACAATGAGAAATGTCTGAATTAAGGTAGTGACAATGGAGGGTAAGACGGAAATCCTCCCATACCTACGTAATACTCAATTAGCAGCTGGTGGATGTAAGCTTGGTGTGTTTTTTTCAGGGGGAAGGGATTTAAGGTAGATACCACATAGGTGTCAGAGATGAGAGAAAGGGTCTAGGATGTAAGATGAGTCCCTGGTTTCTGACTTGGTAGCAGTAAGATGGGAGCTGTTGGTGAATATGAGGATATGGAGAGGAATGATCAATTTTTGCCTAAAATGGAAAATGCTTGAAGGGTCAAAGGAAGGCGTGCTTGGAGATGTTTCATAGCCAGCTAGACGTTTGGGCCTGCAACTCAGCAAATGAACCTGGGACAGATTAAAAAATTCAGTGGCCATAATGACAGTAGAAGATGCCAAGAAGCATACAAGTTTGTTCACTGAGAGCTTGTGGAGCAAGAAAAAAAAAAGTCCAGAAGGTTACTATTTGTTTAATTGAAGTGACTTAAATTAGTTGCTGCCTTGAAAATTTAATACATCATCAATTTTCTATAATACCCTGCAATATAACCATCTTATAATCAATACCTTTCTCATCTCTGTCCCATCAGTTATGAGTATGGACACCTATTTCTCCTGCAGACTTTGGGAGTAAGGACTTGAGTATCTGAAAATGTAAATTCTCTGACTGGTAACAAAAACCATGTGGATAAATAGAAGAAAAACATGTGCCTGAATTTATACAGTGAGCAGTTGAACTTGACAATACATAAAAAAGGAAAAAAAACATAGTGAATCTATTACTATTAAGCAGGTACAAAATAAATCAGAAACTTTCACTGTCAGAAACTTTAATAAAATATGAGGAACTTCCATTATGTTGTGTCCTTTCAGGGGTAGTCCTGAAGACCTGATGCAGTCACTGTCAACAGTGCTGCCAGTATTGCAGAAGATGAAAAATAAATTTTAAGCCTAAATTGCCAAGTTAAAGGCATCATCTTGTAAAAAAATTGCACAAAATTAAAGACAAACATGTATGATTCAATACAAAAAGGAACTAATACTAACTCAGGGGTCCTCACTGGAGGAGGTGGGGTGGTACTTAAAAAGAATACTTAGTACTGAGGTCCCCATCCCCAGGCAAGTACATCACAACACAGGGTGGTGGTGCTGGGGAACCAGTGCTATTTCTGACTCTCCCCAGGTGATTCTAATGTGCAGCCAAAGTTCTGAACCCTTGGCCTCAGTATATAAAGGCAGAAGAGGAGGAAGGAAGAAAAAGCACGCTGGCATGGCAGAGAAGACCTTGGAAGCCAAGCTGCACCTTGATGACTAGCAGAAGCTCATGGAGAAGATCCAAAAAGAACTGGAGAGCTAGCTATACATGTTACTTACCAAACATTCATTAAATTATCATACACAATTGTGGCTTTAGATTATCATAAAGAGAAAATCAACACATATCATGAAAGGGAATGTAAAGTGCAAACTACATGCAAAACGGTTAAAGAACTGGGATTACGTTAACTTCAAAAGAAGACAGCAAGCAATAACTGAACAACGATTTTTAAAATTATGGAGAAATCTGCTGGTGTCACATGGGTTCAGGTTATGTTAGCTAATTTCAGAAAGAATATTTGACAGTATTTCTCTGTAGATACTAACACAGTGCTAACAGTTATTAAATGTAAGTATATGTATTTTTAAAGAAATAAAAATGTTCAGACTTGTAAACTTCTCAGATTAGGAATTTACCCACAGAGTACTCCTTTTGATGACTTTTTTTGTAGATTTCTGGAGGTAGAATTTGACAACCAATTATAATACAAAGCATATGTACTCATTCTCCTTCCTTCTTTTCCAGCTGGGACACTAAACATTCTCTGACATTTGCAGCCCAATTTTTAGCACTGACAATACAACACTTGTAAATCCAGAGACCAGCAAAATAAATCAGTCTCTCTTTTAGGGTATGGTGCAAAACACTGCATAGAGACTGAAATGTATTGGCATTTCCATTTATGAATTTTGTCCAACTTGTACTTGGTTTACTGAGAACTGAACAGTTCTGCCATCAAACAGTCACACTGCACTTTGCACCTTGCTTGGCATAACACTTTTCTCCTGGTGGTACAGTTTCCTATATCATGTCTTTGCTACACTACTGATGTAATGTGATATAATCAAATTTCACCTTTGATTCTCCTAGTTTTCAATGACACCTAGACTTAGTCAGTGTTTATTAAGCTAAAAGTTATTGAAATATTACATTAACAATTAAAAAAATTAACATTAATGTTTAATGTTTAGTTAGCTTAATAACTAAATAAATGAATGTGTGAATAAATGATCACCTCCCTGGCATGTTGCTGTGTCAGTTACCACACAAATTAAGTTAGTATTTTTACTTTTCACTTGCTTACTCATTCACGAATTCAGTTTTAATTGAAAATTTTCTCTGTGTTCAGTACCATACTGAACAGTCAAAAGGAATAGCCCCTGTTCTATAGGAGTGAAGAGCCTAGCAAGAAAAAGTCAGCATAAGCAGTTCTAGGGTTGTGAGTGCACACACATGCTGATTAACATGTTAGAGACGTCTGGGTAACTGAAAAATAAACACTAAACTAACGTTAATAGTTAATATGGAGTACTAATGTCACTAATAAGTGGAGATTATGAACATTTGAAGGCTTTGGAGGAGAACCCTGGTATCCTATATTTAGCTACCACAAGGTTGTAGACATGTTACATGGAGCATATGGAAGAGGATAGAGCTGGGCCACTGACGGACAGAATATAGGTGGGGCTGCAGGCAGAAGATAATTCTTAGTGAGAATGGCCTCAGAGAAGGCTTGAATGAGCTATGGGTCACTCATGCTGAGAAGACAAAGAAATGAGGTAGTCTAAGGACACCTTAATGAAAACATTTTATATTTTGGCTAAATCCCTGACCCATCTTTACTATAACATTCTTAGATACTCTTAGATGTACTCGATAGAAGGAAGACACTGTACTTTTAGACATTATTCTAAATAAGGTTCTTTCTCTTAATCCAGCACAGAGGAGGGAAAAGGACCCTCTTCTGAACAAATATATTAGAAACCAGAATATACATACTCATCCTTGTCCACCTTTTCCCGAAGCTTCTTGAGTTGTTTACTTTGGCTTAACTTCAAATTTTGAATTATGTTCTCAAAGTATTCATCTTCTCTGTAGTTCAACTATATTATATAAAAGATTTTGGGAGAAAATATTAAAACCAGTATCTTCAAAAATTTTGCTAAAAAACATAGGGGCTGTTTTCTTAAGTTTAATCCATTAATAAAGTTAACAGAGAGCATTAAATTTACCAAAAAAGGATTTAATTCCACTTAGCCTAGTTCTATACTGTAGTCCTGCTGCTCTAGCTGAATCACCACTGGAGTCTATTCTTTTGTAATTAATCAAATGAAACCAAGTGTCAGACAAGTTTTACTGTATTGATATTAATTCTTACATGACAGATGAGAGCACATTCTTATTTAGTACCTATTGTGTGCCAGGTACTGTTCTCAGGTATATAGTACACTCTTTTAATCCTTATAATAATATTATGAAGATGGGCAGTTATAAACATTTTAGAGTTGAGGAAACTAAGGCACAATTAAGTTCTCTGCTCAAGGTAATAAGTGATACAGCTGGATCTTGAACCCTAGGAGTCTGATTCTGAGTCTATGCTCTTAGCAAGTTATGATCTGTGGAGCTGAGATTTGAACCCAAGCAGTTCAGCCATGAGTCTATGCTCTCAGCTGCTAGACTCTTGCCACGAGGTCCCTAGGGACTTGCATGCTGTAGCCAGCTCATTCAAAACAAAATAGTCAAGCTTCTCTGCAAATGGAAAGAGGGGAGAGGGTACTATAGGCTAGTAATCAATGGGTCAGGAATCACTGTCATCCCTGGATCTGGGCAAGAACCACCTTGGTGTCACCAGAGTTTCCAGCAGTGCGGTGACCACGAGGGGAGCGACAGGACCCTCAGCTGAGTCTGAAATCAGTATTGGGGGGACGTGAGTCAACTCTATTTTCTTTTCATTGTTAACATTACCAGAAGAGAAGGAAAGAGTTTCCGGTTCTCAGAGTACTTTTGTTTTTAAATAGAGAAGGCATGGCCTGGTTTATCCAGTGGAGGAATAATTAAAAAGGGAATGAAGCCTGAAGACATGGCTTCTTGGGCCTGTATCAGGTGAGATAAGAGCCTGAGCATGGTCTGCTGTTCACTGTGATGTCTACCCCTTGATCCTCTGTAAGGGACACCAGATTTTTTCTTCCGACTCTTAAAATAGAACACATGGAAACCAAAATAACAAAACCAAATACAGACCAGGCCAATTGCACAAAAGGCTAAAACTGAAACAGCCGTAGTAACTGGCTTCAGTGTTCAAGCTCTATATTATAAGGCCTACGTGGCTTTAGGCCATTTCACATAATTTCTGGCAGCCCTTAGCTATAAATGACATTGTCCCCAGCCCTAGGTATCATTAGTGCAGGGTGTTTACAGAGACTGACCTCCACGTATTCATTATTCAGTTTGTCATCATTTGTAACAATGTCATCAGGATAGCCGATTCTTTCTTTAATTGCTAAGGCCTATGAAAATAAAGACATTGCATGTCAAGATGATTATGTAACTTTCAAATGCAAACATTATAATTTGCCCATGCCTAGCAGATAAATAGGTTGATCCATACTGTTTATAAGGAGAGTATCTGACAACAGTTAAATAGAAATATTTGAAAAAGTTTCTGCCTGGAGTTCAAAATACATAAAAAATACTTCTGAAATTTAGTTTCTAACATGCTATTCTCATAGGCTACAGCTTTCCCAAGAAAACCAAAATAAAAACTGACAAGTCATTGTTGCACATGTATTTTATGAACTTTTTTCTCTGAAAGGCTTTTTTTCTTCAATTTTGCGGGAGGGGTAATATTTAGAACTTCCATTCTAGCAGCTTATAATTATCTTTCCACTTCACCGATTTAGCTGAGAAAACGGATATGTGCTTACAGGGTTCGTGCTAATATTCTTCCTGAATATATGTTCCTGGAGTTTTTATGTTCTCCTTTGAACTCCAAAGCTGATGTATACCTATCTTCCCACAGTTAGATGAATGACATTAGTTAAATGAGTGGAAATGGATTTTCCTTGTTATACAGCTCATGTGTACCACTTTGCTTAACTACCATTTCTGATTATTATTTTTATTATCTTAAAATTGCTTACATTTTTATTATTTCATTAACATTTATTTACTACTTGCTATTTCTATTTATTTCTCTCCTTTTCTCAAAGACATGACTTTTGAGTCTATCACATCACATTGCTTTTAAATAATTGAATTAAAATTTTCATATGGAATTAAGCCTGTATCTCTAAGTTATTTTTGTTTACCATCAAACGGATGAGGTTTTGTTACAAATCTATTTCATAAGCCCAGGATTTCCCCAGTGGATCAGACAGGACATGTGTCACTAAGTCAGTTTAGGCCAAGCCCAGTTTCTTATAGGTTTCCACACCATTGACTATTTACAATCATCCCTCTCTGAATGGTTCTTTATTTTCTAGAAGACATTTCCCCAAAGGATGTTCTAAGGGACACAAAGTTTATAGTAGTAGGAGGTAGTACATAACGGATTTATTGCCAAATCTTTGGGTAAATAATATGACAGAAACATTAAGTAGGCTTCTTTATTGCTGTATAAAATTAGGTTATCATAAGTATTCAAGAGGATGAATTAATTAGTGTATTTATTCATTTAATATATGTTCAAGAGTATAACACCATAAGGTGCTGAGGATACAATGTTAGGCAAAAATTTCTGCCCCCAGATAGCTTACCATAAAGATCAATAATAGGCAATGAGTATTAATCTGAAGTGTGTTGTATGATGCCTTAAAATCACACCTTAGATGCATGTAACCTAGTCTAGGGTGGCATTCAGGGAAGCTTTCCTGCAGGAAGTGTTTCCTAAACTCTTTTGACCATGAGATTTCTTTTCATGCAACTTGCAGGTCCTGTAAGACCAACTTGGAAAATGATGAACAGGAACAATCCAACTGGCTGCATGAAATGCAACCATGTCTCGCATAGCTAGAACATAAAAGGAACACATCCAACCTGAACTTCTGGGGGCCTTGTCAAAGTGATGGAAAGATAGCCATCCTGGGGCCCTAAATTCTAGACCTATCTCACTCAGGATTCTGTGATAGCTAAAAAAGACAGTCCTTTCATGTGATTTAATCCTGAATGAGAACTCGATTCCAGCTTGATTCCCTTAGTATAGTAGGTTTATGGCCTCATTATGTATCAGTTCAAAGAATGGTCTGTTCTTCCTGCCACCCTAACTATAGAGGAAATGAGATAGAGCAGGGAAATGGGACAAGGGTCACGCCATTGTAAAATCTACTTAGCCTGTGAAAAAGGCCCAGTTTATTCTTTAACTTAATCTATATGCTATTTTTCCTCCTCTTCAATTAAGTAACTTTGTAACCAGGACTGGAGATAGACCTCTGGAGTATAAATGAACCTATGCAGTTAAAGAATGATGAGATCTGGATCAACACAGTCACCTAAATAACCCTATTCTTATAACAAAACTTCAAAGGAATTATGAATTACCTGTATACAGCATGCCCTGTGCCAACCTCTACCCAAAAAGCCCTATAAAACCCCAACCCCTAAACCCTTAAGTATACCTCCTCTCTGCAGTCGCCTGGCCTCCTTCCTATCTGAGTGTATACTGTCTTATATCAAATAAACTTTCTTGTCGCATAAGCCTACTGCACTTTGTCTCCGAACTTTTTCGTGATAAAGACAAGAACTTGCCAACCTCCACCTCCAGTGACGTCTTTGTCACTTTGCTATTTATTTAGCTTTCTATCCTCAATGGAATCCTTTCTCCCTGTTTTACTTCAGATCGATAGAGAAGTGGAAGTTCTCAAAACATAAACTCACTCTATCCAGTGCTATGCGGCTACCCCAGATTCTGGGGTGGTAGGTGTCAACATAATTCCCCCACTGAGCAGATCAAGCAGACACCAGAGGCCAGGTAACCTTGGCTTTAGTAGTTGGGAAGGGATTTGGCCAAAGCCAACCAGGAGTTCAATGAACTTCCCTTTCCTCCCTCTGTTGTTCCTTGCTCTCTGCTGCCTGCAAGGCTGCTGACATTTGCTTCTACTCTTGCTTTAACAAATTCCTTTCTTGCTGGCACTTCTTAGACCTGATCAAGAATTGTTTCCCAATCAGAGTCAAGAGCCCTCCCCTATCTGGGCTGAAGTTTCATCTAGTGTGTAGGGAGAGACCTCCCCAGAGGCGGTGCCCAGCAACAGAACAATCAGGCTGCATATGAATATTGCTCATTAAGTACATACACTTTTCACTGGATATATTCCTTCTAGTTTTACGCAGTTATCAAGGCAAATGATCATAGTACACTTAAACGTAAGATTTCTAAGACATTGCACCTCTGTTAAATAAATATGTATTCTTATTTAACATATTAAAAGCCAGAATTATAGGTGTACGATGTGAATAAATAGTAATGGTTATAAAAAGGCTCCTTCAACATCCCTCTAACTATAGGTCACCTTATAATATTCAAATAATATGCCAGCTTACATTTGCCTATTTAAAATTTAGTATTTTTTTTCCTGAGGTCATAATAAAGAGCAAAGTAGGATACGTTTAAAAAAAAATCAACTGGAAATTTGCATTAAATTTGGCTAGAAATTGGCATTAAAAACTAGAGGCCTTTTAGATATGTTTCAGAAAAAGAGGAAAAATATGAACCACTCATGGTATCTTTTAATTCTTTACTTGTTCACACAAGATTTTCCTCTGAGTTCAGAAATCATTCAAACTTTAGAACTGAACATGGAGAGTCGGAGTTGACAAAGAAATAATAAAAGATGAAAATCATAGAAAAAACTCTTTATCCATGAAGACTGTTCCAGGAAACATTACATCTTGAAGGAGCTTACTTTTATTTTATGCAAGGCTTGATTATATTTTTTTCTGAACTTTCTGAAAATTTCCTCCTTTCTTATAAATACTTTTTTCTTTGATAGTAAAGCCTGTCTTGTTTTTACCTTTTCTTCAGCCTTCTTTTTTGTTTCAGCATCCATCCAAGTGAGGTCATCTAAAGTCTGAATAAAAACTTCCCGGATCTGTGTAATCAAATTCTCAACCTCAAACCAAGAGAAGACAAATTTAGGCCATTAATTGTTTTTTTTTTTTTGTAACACAAATTTAAAAGTATAGAGCTATAAACCAACTCAATAATATGCTAATAAATATAAGTTTATAGACAAACTGTGATCTAAAGGAATGGGTACATGTGGATATTATATTTTTAAAACAACACTGTTACTACCAACACTAATGACAAAACAGGTCTTAACATAAACATTAATAAAAATATCATCTTTAGAATCCAGTGGTTCCATTATCATAAAAGAACGAACATAAAACATTAGCTGTCATTATCATTAGTAGTTAGTTCAGCAAGAATTAGCATTTCAGAAGTTTCTTTCACCATGTCTTCAGTCTCCATTGTCTTCATTTCAGTAACAATGAGAATTTCAGCAACATTTCTTATACTTCAAATAAACCCTAGTTTATTTTCTAGGGTTTTAAGAAAACACAAATGCTTGGTCAATTTTGTTAACAGAAGAGTTTATAAATGACTCTGTCAACAGAACGTGTGAGTGGGAATGGGTACTCCGCTTTTGGAAAATGGACAGTTGATTTTGGACTAAACAGTATCAGCATCAGAAATATAACCAGACTCCTGGGGGAGGAAGAATGAGGTTCATTGGGAAATAATGGCAAATTATGATTCAGAGGTTCTCTGCCAATTAATAAAGTTTTAGTCAAATTACAGCCTATTGTAATTGCCATCAATGCAAACAGATAACTGGTAGTGTACTGTGCTGAAACATTACCACATGTTTACTCTCTCCAGCAAAGGCTGCTTCCACATAAAGCCTTCCCACAGCATTTTCCATATTCCCATTGACATAGTTTGCACAACGTCTCCAGGTGGCCGTTTCTGATGTTGTGCCATAAAGGGCCTGAGGGAGAGAGAAGGGGAAATGCATTTGACTGGGAGTGGACAGCCAGAGCCTGGCAAGAGCACAGATTTCACAGGGCTCTATCCTTTATGTCTCCTAAGTTCTTGCACTATTCATTGCTTCTCCTCATAAGGCACATTGTTCTTGCCCAAGATAAAAATGTAATCTAGTTGGATTGTTTACTTATATATCATCTGAAAATAAGGTACATTTTCAGTAGCATGTCCCAGTAGAACTCTTGACTGCTACAAGTTAATATCCTTCTTAGACAGCTTTAGAAAACAATGAAACCCAAAACCAAAAAAATAATACTGCTGCATAAACATAAACGTGAAGTAATGTTCAATAAATGTAACAGGGGAGAAATCCAGTATACGAGAAAACACATTCCTGACTTTAAATGTTTTGTTGAACTTCCAGTACTCAGAAAAACTGTATGTGCAAAAATTTAAGTACCAATAAGGGGATTGACTTAGTTAAGGGAAATTTAGTACAACATCATTTTTACATTCTTTAATTAAAATAATTTGTCTACATTTTCTTTCAAAGGGTAAAACCTAAAATTTTCAATCAGAGAGTTATTTCCTTTCCATGACACCAACCAATATGTTTGCTAGTTTCTCTTTACTCAAATCCTCCTGCCCTCACCCCTTACAACAGAACTAAAATGATGTTTAAATAATGTTGGTACAGCCTAAGAAAGGTGGTAAGGTTGTCCCCAGGCAGGTGTGTGCTCAGTGGACTGCCCACATCAAAGTAGCCCATCTGTCTGGATGGCTAGTGTGTTATGAGCACCTGAAAATCAAATGAATTGAGACAGATATCCCTGAATTTACTTGTAACACGCACACAAAAACTAAGCCAGTATTCTTTCAAATAAGCAAATGCCTCTTCTTCCAGGGCAGTCCCATCATAGTGTCAGAGCAGACTATCTAAGGCAGCGAAGCCCATGAAAATTAGCTTTCCTGGACACCATAGCTTAAATATGAGTGAAATAAGCAACACTTGTTTCTAGTTTCTCGGCAAAGTTCACCACATTTTAGCAGTGCGCATGGCAAGCCTTCATAACCATGTATCTCTTTATATTTTAAGTCTTAAGAAAAGAGAGATTTTTTCTTCACCTTGCGGAAAGCATTTCTGGACTCCTTGTAGGTTCGGCTGAGGCTGCTTACAAGATCCATTATGAACCGCCAGGACATTAAATTTTGGAGATCTCTGCATAAAAAAACCCACCACCCAGCAACAGAAAAGATGAGGCTGCAAAGCTTCTAAAGAGTGATATTAAATGTAAACTTTGAGGGCATGGGTACTCTGATATACCTACCTGGGAGAATATTTGGTAAGAATGAGCTTAAGTTTGGTTAAATATTCTGGAGCATAAACTACCACATCTTCCTCATTTGGAATACTAATATTCACAGTTGACATGACTTCATTTGTGAAATTTGACCAGCTGAATGGCTGGAAAAAAGCAGGCATAAAATATTCAATAATTATGCATGTCTCTTCCTGTTTCCAATACTTTATGATAGGGGGTCAGACATGGTTACAGTGTCAGTTCTATCACTGTATAATTACTACAACGATCAATTTGATATGTGATATTTGACCAGGATTTTTCATCCATTGTTCCATTCACTTTTTGATTAAAAATTAGTTCTGCAGCATGTTTATTATTTAGCAGAATCAAACCAACTGTTTAAGAGCAAAAGCAAAGCTAAACATAGAGAAATACACCTAGAAATTAGGTTGAATGTCATCTTGGTCTATCCAATATAAAAACAAAGAAAAAAAGCAATTTGGCTTTAAAAATAAAGCTTCCTTGGTCTATGCAAAATTTAGACAGATACAAAGTATTTATCCTTTAAAAGTGGATATTAATAAACAATCCATTCATAACAGTCATTCATCTCAGTGTAGATCCTGCTGCAAATGAAAATATACTGTTGTCATAGTAGAAGTATGGGGACATTACAGATACAGTGCAAATGGTCCAGTGAAGCCAAACAAAACACATTTTTAAACTATCAATATTGGGTCTATAGACATGCGGTTTTACCTCAGAAGCTAGGTTTGGAGTTGCCAAAGGATACAATGTTGTGTATTATTTTCTAAATGGGAATGGTGGTTATTCAACCACCAGCAGATATAAGAAAAAAACAGCAGAATTAGATGTAATGCAAATCTTGTTGAAATGCCACATTTCAGTGTTTGAGAACATTTAAGATTAATAGTATCTTAGGTTCTATGATTTTCCATACAGTACATACATGTATGTACTACATATATATATATAAATATAAATATAAATATAAGTGTATAAATGTACTCACAGGTATATAAATATATCAATCGCTTACTAAGTATGAGGTGGTATGTACTTTTATTGATTTATTCTGGTGGTTTGGATCATTCTTTCAAAACATATCATTAAACACTTACATTTAAAAGGTCTATGTGAGAAGTTCCTAATTCAATAGGTTATGCCTTTAAAAGTCTTTGTTTACTGTAATTAGTGCCAAAGAGAATTTCATCACTGAATGTGGTCGTTTGTAATTTTCCGGGACATGGCTCCTCTTCTACATCATGTATAACTACTAAACACAAGAATACATGCACAGTCCCAAGAAAAGATTATTAGATATTAGCTAATGAATTACAGCTAAGCAAAAAGATGCCAGTTGCGGCTTATAAATGGAATTTATGAGACAGATTTTTCTTCTTATTTCTTGTGTTCTATTTGTCTATTATTGCTCTGAACACCTCCATAGGTAGCCTTCATGAGAACATGGCAAGTTCTAGGAATAAATTATCCTTGTGAGGAGTTAAAAAGAAATCTAGTGCTTTTATTATTTGACTGTCCATGTCTGATGGCTATATAACGGTCTCTCTGATGGATTTTCAGTTTTAATATTTCCCAAACCCTTTTCTAGAACAGTTCCTAATATAATTACATAGCTACCTTAAAAGGAATTTTATCTTTGAAATTCACTCTAACTAAATATGATACAATGATTTCAAGTAGTTCTGGTCTTGTCATGAAGTCAAATACCTGGTGTCACCTAAATGTATTTTGAACTTCAATTTTTTCAATAAATAAGAATCACTGCATTTTAACAAACGATTTCAATGCTATAATTTTAGAAATGGCACAATAAGAGAGTACTTAAAATTGCTACTTACCTTCCCATTGATCTCTAGTGAAAAGTTATTTTGGATCTGGGCCAATGTCATTTTGTTATAAAGAAGCACTGGGTCATTTCGATCTTCAGGTTTAGTTGTAGCCTATGGATTTCATTTTTAATCATTATTTCAGAACTATGAATTCTTTAGAAAAATATAACTACATGAGGGAAAAAGAAATATGGATAGGTACAACATCATTTGATTTAAGTTCTACTCTGTACTTGTTTTGTAATTTATTTTATCATATATCAAGAAAAAAGTGAAATATGATATTGTCAGTATACTCAACAACAATTATCAAGATTTGGCTGCAGTCAAGTATAAAAATTCTTCAAAAATCTTGTTATACTTTGATAACCACCCAACCACATAAGCAGTATTTGCAGGCTTCTTTCCTTCTGTAGCTAATGGCCAGCTCAGTTGTATCTGTGGTTGTTTCATATTATAATGTTCTTGAATATAGTCATTTCAATTTATCCCTAAAAGACTCTTATTAATGCCATTCCTCTCACCCCTGATTCAGTGTCCCAGTTAAAGTTCAGACAGGGAAGAAAAACCCAATGGTTTCTGCAAGAATTTAAAGCAAGTATGAGAGAGAAAATTCCTAGTATATAGTACAGTTAGGTAGCAAGTTATCAAGGGAGAGTGTTAACCCTTCTACTATCATGACTGTCTTCTCAGCCTGCCTAACCAATTTAGTACTCTATACTCAACAGCACCGAGTTTTATTTACTTATTTTTTGCTGAATCAAAAAAAAATAAAAGAAAATTACAATAACAACTCCCCAGCTAAGGGCTGGAGTAAAAGAAATTTTAAGTGAGAAGAGACAAAGGTAAAAAAATATAAGTGGGAATTATTTCTCAGTGACATTAGCTCCAATTTCCTCTTTAGGTCACTTACTTATTCATTCATTTTAGAAATTATTTATTGTACATCTCCTTCATGCAATAATATGCTGGATACTGTTAGAGATACATAAGTGATTCAAAGATAACTAATACTCCACCTCAATTTCAGAGTCTAAGAGAAGAAAGAAAATTAAGAGACAAATAATTCTGATAAAACTACTACAGAGCTGATCAAAGGAGACATGGTCTGGGAAGGCACAAGTGGTAAAAACCCAGGGTAAGAAGCTGTTCTCCTCTGATAATTCTGTCCCCAACACAGAAGCACATGACTCATCAAACTGCCATTACCCCAGCAGCAGCTCTAAGCAAAATCTGGTTCTGAGGGGAGACTTTTGGTTTCACGTAGCACCAGGAAAACTAAAATTGTCCTAAAAAATCTTTGGTCTTCAAGATTTGGATGGCAGTGGCAAGCAAATGGGGATTTAGGAGTGCAGGTTATTTGCCATGTCAGAGACAGCTCTGCAGCTCCTGGGCTGAACCTGACCATGGGTTCAATCAATAACCTGGATGCAGTTCAGGCAGAGTTCACTTGCTTGAGACTTCAGACCCTGTCAGAAGAACATCAGATAAAGTGCCAACTCAGACTCCAAGGGTTCATCTGGAACCTGAGAAAATTCAAGAACACACTCTTTGGGCTTTGCTGCTAAACTCCTCCTGTCAGATCTCCCTTGACCTCAGCAAGCCAGACAGTATGAACTCAGTGACGTCACACTGTCATGTGGCCACATTCAGTGGTTAATATTTCTTGGCAAAGGGACAGAGACAATCTCTGTGATGCCCTTAAACTTTAAAATAAAGTAAAGTTTTACCTATCAAAACTAAAACAAGTCTGCTGAATAGTTAGCAATCAAGTGTGCCCGGAGACTCAAGAACATTTCCACAACTGTTTCACTATAAATGGTTAAGATTTTGATGTAATCCACTTATAATAGGTAATGTCTCTAGTTTAATTTTTGTCAAACTTAGTATGTCTCCTGGATATCAGAAACTAGTTTACTATAAAATTCTAGTTTTAATTTTAAAAGTCAATTAAAATTGACTCTTGAAGTGAATGATCCATTACTGAACTGTGCATTTTTACCAGTTGGTAAGGAGTTGGACCTTTTATCCTTAAAATAGGATAGGAGAAAGAAAAAAAAGAATGGTTAATGTTCTTCAGTGTATCAGAGAAAATTCAATTTACATTGGCAATTTCTTTTTCCAATTCCATAACTCTATTCATTTCCAAAGACACCTGGTTTTTATCGACAGGCAGTCCTTTTTCCTGAAGAATCAATTCGGCTACAGCAATCATAAAATCCACATATGCTGTACAAGCCTACAAGAAATAAATAACAGTAAATTGTTGGAGAAGCTTCTAAATATGCATCATTGTGACTAAACTTAAAATTTGTTTTCAGTTTGACATTAATTTTTGGTAACAGATAAAGCACAATAGAATAGAAATCCTTTCCTAAATCCTGAAAAAAACTACCTGCATAGATTCTTAGGAAGTCAGTGTATATTTGAATTAGAGAAGAACAATAAAATATCATGTCAAAACTGCTAAGTAATTTATAACCATTTGGTCTGGGAATTTCATAATTTTCCATTTTTAATCAAGTTATTTTAACTTGCCTTAATAAGAATGCAGTTGCAAAACACATGGTAAGCAATAACCCAGTATTTCTTTTTCTCAAATAATACTTCCTTTACCAAATTCCCTTTTCTCAGTTTTCCTCTGCTTGAATATATTCTGTTCATACATCAACTATTCATGCAGAGATGGCCATAAATGCATATAATATTATTAGGATATCTATATTTGTTTCCTCTGGCTAAGCAGTTTTTAAAAATTTTTCTTAATGAGGTTGTGTTCTCATGAGCTCCTCCAACCCAAACTTAATGGGTTTTAGTTAATTCCATAGCTGGCTCTTGCTGCTGTGGAACTTCACTCTAAGATCCCATAAATTTGTACATCAGCTTTCTTCTAAGAACCCAAGCTCTTTCCATTTCATCCTCACATATAGTTTAACTGTGTGAAGGTAAGCTGTAAATTAGTTACATTATCAACCTTCTACAGAATATATGCCTTCCTTATTCAAGTTCAAGTTCACAGTGGCATCATACCAGGATACTGAGTACCACTTTCGTAAATCTCAACTGCTGTCTAGCCATTATTATCATCAGTGATCAAAATAAACTGTGATCTGACCTCATTAAAATTCACTCACAATTCAAATTCCCAGCAGCAGCTTGACAACAGATAACCATGATAGGAGGGCCATGCTGGACAGATTTGGGATGGGTGGGCGCATCTATGCTTCTAAGACTCATTCACTGGGTAAATATGAAGGAAGGCTGTAAGTGCTTAACACTCCCACAGTCAAAAGAGGGTTTTATATCTCTCCTAACTGATTATCAGTAAAAGAGGCATACTTAACAACGTTCACTGTGAATGCAAGGCACACCTGAATTTACAGTGGCCCTTGAAGAGAATCAAACATAAAACGTACAGGGAAATCAAAATGTCTTATCAAGCAAGAACCTAAGCAAAATATATAGTTATTATCAATTTAAAAGTCAAGAGGATGACTTAAAGCAAGGTTTAGCTCCTGGCATTCCATGACCTTTACTAAATGCTAAGCGACAGTGCCCTGGGGAGAGGGCTCTTTCTTTTCATGGAAACCTTGCAATGCTGGGGATCTCGAGCTAGCATCTCTGTCCATGGATCTGTTACCCAAGAGAGCAAAGCATTTCTCAGCTGTGTGTATGTATTAAAAACTTAATCACTAACGTAACAGGGATAACGAATTGTTTTTATGTATATTCTTGCCAACTGCTTTCTTTCCCCATTGAAAGGTAATCAGAATTCTTGTTTCACTTTGAAGTAAACAAGTATGTCTGAGTTCATATCTCATGGGGCCAACTCCAATATATATTCCAAAATATAAGCATTCAATGTTTTGAATTAACTGTATTCCGAATCATACAAATTCATCTGCATTCAACAGGGAATTACTACTGACTGGGAAGGAAATGGTAATTTGAATTCTGCAATATCAATCTACTGAGTCTTTTTTTTTACTCTGTGGGGTTTTTTTTTTGTTAATGAAGTGAGAAAAACATAACAAGAATGCTTTCCTGCACTTTGTTAACTTTGCAAACTGGTTCTACTCCAGCATTTTAATATAATATTATTAGGATATCTATATTTGTTTCCTCTGGCTAAGCAGTTTTTAAAAATTTTTCTTAATGAGGTTGTGTTCTCATGAGCTCCTCCAACCCAAACTTAATGGGTTTTAGTTAATTCCATAGCTGGCTCCTGCTGCTGTGGAACTTCACTCTAAGATCCCATAAATTTGTACATCAGCTTTCTTCTAAGAACCCAAGCTCTTTCCATTTCATCCTCACATATAGTTTAACTGTGTGAAGGTAAGCTGTAAATTAGTTACATTATCAACCTTCTACAGAATATATGCCTTCCTTATTCAAGTTCAAGTTCACAGTGGCATCATACCAGGATACTGAGTACCACTTTCGTAAATCTCAACTGCTGTCTAGCCATTATTATCATCAGTGATCAAAATAAACTGTGATCTGACCTCATTAAAATTCACTCACAATTCAAATTCCCAGCAGCAGCTTGACAACAGATAACCATGATAGGAGGGCCATGCTGGACAGATTTGGGATGGGTGGGCGCATCTATGCTTCTAAGACTCATTCACTGGGTAAATATGAAGGAAGGCTGTAAGTGCTTAACACTCCCACAGTCAAAAGAGGGTTTTATATCTCTCCTAACTGATTATCAGTAAAAGAGGCATACTTAACAACGTTCACTGTGAATGCAAGGCACACCTGAATTTACAGTGGCCCTTGAAGAGAATCAAACATAAAACGTACAGGGAAATCAAAATGTCTTATCAAGCAAGAACCTAAGCAAAATATATAGTTATTATCAATTTAAAAGTCAAGAGGATGACTTAAAGCAAGGTTTAGCTCCTGGCATTCCATGACCTTTACTAAATGCTAAGCGACAGTGCCCTGGGGAGAGGGCTCTTTCTTTTCATGGAAACCTTGCAATGCTGGGGATCTCGAGCTAGCATCTCTGTCCATGGATCTGTTACCCAAGAGAGCAAAGCATTTCTCAGCTGTGTGTATGTATTAAAAACTTAATCACTAACGTAACAGGGATAACGAATTGTTTTTATGTATATTCTTGCCAACTGCTTTCTTTCCCCATTGAAAGGTAATCAGAATTCTTGTTTCACTTTGAAGTAAACAAGTATGTCTGAGTTCATATCTCATGGGGCCAACTCCAATATATATTCCAAAATATAAGCATTCAATGTTTTGAATTAACTGTATTCCGAATCATACAAATTCATCTGCATTCAACAGGGAATTACTACTGACTGGGAAGGAAATGGTAATTTGAATTCTGCAATATCAATCTACTGAGTCTTTTTTTTTACTCTGTGGGGTTTTTTTTTTGTTAATGAAGTGAGAAAAACATAACAAGAATGCTTTCCTGCACTTTGTTAACTTTGCAAACTGGTTCTACTCCAGCATTTTATCTTTACAGATGTATTTAAATACTATAGAACTTGGCATAGGCAAGCACAAGAATTTGGACAATGTTTCTGGTCTAACTGAGCTGTTAAAGTTTTCCAGAAAACTGGAAGCATATGATATCACTAGGTTCGGGGATGCTTGAATATTTAATATGGAATACACTACTTCCTTTAATGAACTCTATTACCTGGCAACTATTCCAACATGACTGATTAAAAGATATCTTAGTATCTTGATTATCTTTCTTGGCTTCCAAATTTATCTGAAAGCTGTCAGAACCTAGGATTATAGCTGCTGTTAAGTCCTTTTTACAAGATATGATTAAAATATTAAGGTTTTAATTTTTCTTCCTTGAGATACTTGTACATAAAATGCCAAATGATAGGAATTGTCATGATTTGGAGCAAAAATAATCAACACGTATTTTAAATATAAATAGTACATTGGCCAAGATCTTATTTAAATTGAAATTCAGTATTTCTTTTTGGTCACCAAGAGAGCAATTGGCTACTAGGACAAGGGCCAATGTCAGTTATCTTTTTGACAGTCAAAAGGCAGCTTTGTTGAGGCCTTGATGTGGTGAATCCTTTATGTGTGTAAGAGTCTATCTATATATCTATGTAGCCCTTCCTTTAAAAATAAAACATTTAAAATGCCAATACTTATAATAGCAGGTTTGAAGATGATAATTGGTTTTAAATGCTTAGGTGAAATCTGTAAAAACAGTTCAGTGGATTTTTAAATTATACACTATCAGTGAGATGATATTTACCAACATCCAAGACAATGAATTGTTACTCTAATTAGAACTATTTTCACTTTGCATGACGAAGCAGTGATGTTTATGAATTGGTTCTGTTCAGAAATAGGGCTCCTCCTGGTTGGAAAAAGGCTGGTGTTTGTTGGAGTTACCAAAGAGAAAGAAAGAAACACCACTTGACTATTGTCCTTCAAACTTTAGTATCTTTGTTAATGTATAACAGCATGACCCAGGGAGGAAGACAGCTTTACAGTTAGATTGGCTGATATTTGTGTGTCTTAGTGTGACAACAACCTATGGGTCATGGTTTCACTTTCAAAGATTCTGTTCTGGGACACCCGGCTTTTACCAATTTTCTGCCTTCCCCTTTCTAGGAAGAAGACTGACATAATGTGGAGCATGAAGTGACTGAGAAGTCACAGAACAATGCTATTCTTAGCTGCAGATGATCAGGGATATTTAATATCATAAAAAAGTTTCCTGAGGGAACACACAGGGGATGCTGAGCAGTTAAGATATATTTCCTAGTAAAAGGGCTTGGAATTTTTCCCCAAGTTAAGCAGCATGTCAGGGTGCAACTGCCAGCTTGGAGAGACTTGCTCCCCACAGAGGAAGTGCAGACATCTGAATCACGCAGACATTCCTAGGGACCGGAAATGAGAAACAGCCCTAATCTAAGCAGGACTCAAGCAGGAGAATCCAGGACACAAGAGGATCCACTGTGGACCAGCATGGGGAATCTGGGGCTTTCATCAGGCTATTAATGAGGGAATTCACATGAGAACTTATTGTGTAACTTCTAAGGTTTATTGCATGTGTTTGGGAAGCTTCATGTGACTCTTTTTACAACCTGGCTTCAGTCCATCTCAAAAAATTCTGTTGTAAATGCCACACCTGACAAGTCTTGTCATTTTTACCTATTTTTGTTGTATTCAGTAAGTTCCAAGTTCAAAAGCTTCTTTGTATTTTGCTACATACAGATACCTGGACTGTGAAACCTC